AGCTTTAAAGTTTCCAAGAAATGCCAAAAGTTCAAGAGTCTGTGGCTAAAAGTACATTTATTTCATTTGATGTCTGTTATAATAGCCAAGTTTCCTACACAAGAAAAGGATTGTTTGTTTCAGACCAGACTATTTCCAATAAGATCTGTGTGAATGTTTAACCACAAATAGAACATTGCTATAGAATTAATATTAAAGCTGCCTTCAGCTTTTATTTTTTTCTAGAAAAACAATTCTGTGTTGTTTCAAACTAAGAATTTCAGTAATTTTATCTTGGAAAAGTGCATCATATCAACATTAAGCCTTCTTCAAAACAACGTTTTGAGAGTTATTAATAGCGCGTCACATCAACATTAAGCCTTCTTCAAAACAACGTTTTGAGAGTTATTAATAGCGCGTCAGTGATGTTTGTTTTTAAATAGAAGATCAGGAAATCTTTTGCTTAACTAATTTACATAAAGGGAGACATATTGATTTGACAATTAAATGAAAATAACATATTAAACCTTGAGAAAAGGTGGAGGCCGCTTTAATATTTCTCCTCTTCATAGCTGTTACTTGGTACACTTGAAATAAATATAACTATCATGAGCTCACAAAAATTCAGCATACTAATCTAATCAACTACTTGTGGAGCATAAACAATAGTGCTTATATAGCAGGTGTAGACTAGACAAGGTAATACTTTCTATGATACAGAAGTAGGTCACTGGGTCAAGTTCATGAAAATTCAAGGTCAAATGTTAACTAATACTTAACTATATGACTAGGAACAACATAAAAAAGATATGTTCCTAAAACATAAATGCCCTTGTCCCAAAACTGTAAACAAATCATAAAGTTATTGTGAAATTTCTTGGGATTTTGAAAACTTGACATTGAAGAGATCAAGGTGAATATGGGGTTCAGGTGTCATATTTTGCTACCTCAAAATGGAGCTTTTGTCTAGAAATATACTTTGTCCAATATAACTTGTAGAAAAAATATGTTTCTACCAAATTTTATGTTTTCCACAATTATACCCTTCTAAAAAAGCATAACTTGGCACTTAGTTTGTTAATAAATACATTATAACCTCTGCAAACTAACACCGTTCTGGAGAGAAAGATTATACCAGACAGTATTTTCTCTGACACCCTGAATTTTTACATTCATTGCAAGCAATAACTATAGGAAATGTTGAATTGATAAACATGGCAAAGAAGATTTGACATATAAACAGATTGACAAACATTTCTTATTTATCTGAACACATGCATACAAAAATTATACAAAATGATAATTTCATATTTCAATCTAAGCTTGACAAGTGCTTAAAACAGCATGCCTCCAGATTCATGGTATCTTTCATTATATAATTTTTAATTTGTTTTAAAAAGTAAAATATTGATAAGTGATCAAAGAGAGTAATTCAAACATTGCAAATGGCACTTAAAATCTACGTAAAAATTGCCAAAATTAGGTCAGAATGTGCAAAATTAGTTCTTAGTGTGTTTTTCATGCAAGTAATTCATTAACTTATATTATTAATTGTGAATGTAAATATTTTTACTTTTCTTAAAATCTTAGTATATTTTTCTCCAGGTTGATTTTCTTCAAATATTTTGGCTCATTTGTTGGCATTCTGCTTTAAACCATAACATGCTGGAACTGGAAGCATCAGTCTATGCTACCAGTATAGAGCCAGGCCAGCTTGCACTTTTATACCGTCTGACAAGACTCTATACTGATGCACTGTTGCTCACTCAATTTTTTGTAGTTTGATATCGAAATTATTTCAACCTCAACCTGGATTGTTCCATATTGAAAATTGAGCAATCACTAAAGATGATTAATACCACCCTCAGTCACCTTAACTACATGAAAAATAAGTGGTCTGAAGCAAAATTTGAACTGGACCTATATTTTATGATGTATCATTTGTGTACCAATAATAATTACAATTAACTGCCTTGCTAAGAGTATAATCATATGCTAACCATTATTTTGGTAAAAAAAGAAAAAGGAAGATAAGTTATTAAAAGTAAATAGTCTTCTAAGGCCAATGTGAATAATAGGGACTAAATTATGTCAATCTATCTATCAGAGTAGAGGTATGAAAAAGGTGAAAATATTGCACAAGTACCACAGATTAAGGTTTTACAATTGTCATCGAATCCAGTTATTTTCTTTCACACGGATCAGGTGCCCTTCAACAAAATACCTAGTCGTTCTTTAAGCAGATATTATCAGCAATGTTCAAAAATTGTATGTGTTTTAATTATGAGATGGCACTACAATAATGTGCTTTAGACTATTTATATGGCTAACAGTGATACCAAGGCAAGCTGTGCTTTAACTTTAATACTAGGTGTGCTTTAACTATAAAACTAGCAGTGCTTTAACAATATACACATGTACTTGCTATGCTTTTTATTCTAATGCATTAGTGATTTTAATAATAATCCTATATATTTTTATAAACTGTTAAAGCTAACAGCAGCTTTCACTACAAAGGTGTAACTTTGCGTTTTATGCATGTTACATAAAACCATGGTTTCTACTCCTAAACTTGCTTTTAACTATATTGCAGCAAACAATGACTTTAACTAAAATGGTTTAATGTGGTTTTAAATACATTGTGATTTACAATGATTTTAACTTCAATGGTTTGATATGGCTTTAACTATATTGTGGGTAGCGATGACTTTAACTCAACGGTTTGAAGGGTTTTAACTATGCTTAGGCTAACAATGACTTTTTCCTCAAATGGTTAAAAGTGGTTTTAACTATGTTGTCGCTAACAATGACTTTAATTAAAATTAATGGTTTGATGTGTTTTAAATAGGCTGTGGCTAAAAGCAACTCTAACTAAAATAATTTTGAGGTTGTTTTAACTAAGTTGACAGTTGTGGCTAACAATGACTTTAACTACAATGGTTTGATGTGGTTTTAACTATGTTGTGGCTGATATCAACTCTAACTAAAATAATTTGAGGTGGTTTTAACTACAATGTACATTGCATGTTGACAGTTGTGGCTAACAATGAATTTAACTACAATGGTTTGATGTTGTTTTAACTACATTATGGCTAAAATGACTTAACTAAATGGTTTGATGTGCTTTTAGCTACATTGTGGCTAGCTATGACTTTACCTATATGATTTTATGTGGTTTTAACTATGTTTTGGCTAACAATGCTTTTAACTGAATGGTTTAGTGTGGTTTAAAGTATGTTGTTGCTCACTGTGCTTAATCAAGATTTGCCAACCTAATATTTACAATTTATATAGATAGCTGTGTTTCTGACTTTGTTGTGCCTATCAATGTATTGGAATAAAATGACTAATTGCTATTTGATAATTATTTTATATTAGCAATAAATAACAAAAAATATATCTTAAGAAATTTACATGATGCTTTACTTGCAGTTCCTAACAATGGAATGGCTAAAAGTATCTTAAGAGGCTGAGCTAGCAGTAATTAAAAAATAAATCCCAAACAACAATTTACTAGTGGTCATTCACAATCAAATGATTATTTGATAGCAGTAAAAATGTAAAAACAAAACTGAAAAAAAAAAACACAGTGATTTATAACGCGGTGCATTAACAATTAAAATGGTGGCTTTAAATTTATTCTAACACGACCCGCAATGTTCCCTATTGAACATAGAAGAACCAAAAGTGTGTGTTATTATACAATAAAATCACAGTTTGACGTTCTATATTTAGACATGTGACATAATCATAATACATGTGACTTAACCACTAAAGATGCGACGCACTGAAAATAAGTATGGAAACAAATCAGCCGCAATTTAGCTTAATATCAGGTATGGCAGCATTTATTTGTTAATGTCGTGTTAGAATCGAAATAATATATCCAAATCGGTGATTTTATCGCTTTATAAAATCACTGTCTTTCAGATGCACATCATTATATCACTCGGGCTACGCCATCGTGATATAATTCCTCGCATCGGAACTCTGAACAGTGATTTTATTGACTGATAAAAATCAGTTTGGGATATATCATTTCTTAACCATACTATGTAAGCAGTACCTGTAATTCACAATACAAGGTTAACTGTAATTTATGATGATTTACTGGCAATAATTAACAGTGATATAAATCAATAGTTAACAGTGATATAAATGACAATTACTTAACCTGGAATAGAAACATTGACTTACAATGAATTCTAAAATATTTTTGTTTTGTTTCTTGATTGGACATAAAATCTCACAAAGTATTTTTAAACAATATAGAACAACAGTTGTAAGATGGAGCTGGCAATTCCTTCCGTCGAATCAGCTATTGCTTCCTTTGCATTTTTGGCAATACAGTAAGGTTATAGTGATTTAGTATTTTGTATGGAAGTCAAAATACCACTTAGTTTATTCTTATACAATTGTGACATAATACGTCACATTCATCGCTACTTTCTTCCAATTGCTTAGCATCTAAATAATATGCTTTTAAATTCTAATATTCTATTATCAAAGCATTATAAAACATATGTTTGGTTTGCCAAGGTTCCAAAAGAAAAAAAGTATAATAATTGTCCGAGGCTTGATATATCTTTAAAAAAAAAAAAAAAGCTGCATGCCTCCAGATGAAACCCCCCCCCCCCCCGCCACCCCCCCCCCCCCCCCCCCCCCCCCCCCCCAAAAAAAAAATCCAAAGAAAATAACTTGAAAGAAAAATTGTAATTTTTAAAGAAAAGTAAAATTATTGATAATTCAAGTAATAATTTACAATAATTTATTCAATGAACTAGCTTGATTTGCAGAATTTATCACCATATTTTCCTAATTTACATGACTAACACAGTAAAAGGGTTACTTTTGCATATTTTTGACTGCTGTTTTGTAATTGACAATATTTTTAAATTTTTCAAAATTTTCTTGAAAATAAGTATGAATTTGGAGGCGTGCTGCTTTAAAACAAAATCAATTAGCATGGACAATTGTTTTTCTCAAAAATTTTATCATGCTAGGGTTTACCACTCAGTGTGTTAGCTATGAAAACTACATGTGTATAATGAATATTGCAAGTCATCATGTAATGAACTGTGTTTTACATAAACAGGTCTGTTTCTCAAAACATTGCCTGAGTTTGCATGTAACCATACTGTTTGTTGAGGTGCATTCTGATATCCTGTGTTCATTGGCTGATTATATGATGATGTCCTTGACCTTGAGGTCATATGTGATGACTGTGACCTTGACCTCTGTTGTTGTTGTTGCTGCTGCTTTTGTAAAACTGGGAGGCCCTGTTCCTGAACAAGTTTTTCTAAACTACTAAAATGTAGTTTCGTTATGAGTTGTAACTCTTCAAATACTGAAGAAAAAAAAAATAGCTATTGTCGAGTATTGATAATAATAAATTCCTTCTCAAATTAAAAAAAAACCAACAAAAAACACACACACAAAAAAAACATGGTTCAAGGTTTTAAGGTTGATTTTACATAGAAAATACACAAGATAATTGTGTAAAAGTGTAATATCTGAAGTCATTTGATCTGTTTACAGGACATCAAACTTCAACAGAAGTGGGGCAATATAATTTTGACTGAAGAAATATTTAATTTAATGAGGTTTTTCAAGACTAGATTTAGCAAATTCTAGGTAAGTAAGGAATAACAACAGCTGTCAGAAGGACAGCATGCTTGACTTATCTTACTGCTTGATAGAAAATATGTCTCTGAATAATGTAGGGCCATAACTCTGTCAAACTGACAGCAACCTCCTATTATGCTCTCAAATAAGTGTCTGAAATTTCAACATATTCCCTTTAGCAGTTTGGAGATACCAACTTGCATGAAAAAACTTAACCAGTGTAAGATGGTGATGATTACACAAGGGTGAGTACAATAGTTCTCCCCCTCTTCTTCAATAGTATATGCTTGAATGATTCCAACTGATGGCATAGTCACGCCATAATCAATTTGGCATTCAAAGCATTTATTCTTTAAGCATTTATTCTTTACCATCTTTACCATGCTGGCATCAACTGAATCTATCTCATGCAACCATGTCAGACAAAAATCAGCTGGAACATCCATACTGTCTGCATTAGTTTGCAATTCAGTTACTTCATTTTTTCTTTTTTTTTATAATCCAAAACATAATTTAGTCTTTAGTCCAAAGATGGACAAATTTGTTTAATATATTTAGAATGGTAAGGGATTAATATCAATCCCTTAAAGGGCCTCAACTGAGTTTTTTTGACATGACAGGACTGGAAATAATTTTTCAAAATAAATGTTTCATTTGATGTAGGTCTACACCAATAACATGTGCAAACTATCAGATCATTGGCTCTCTCTGTTGTACCAGAATAATCATTCTAATATGAAAAATACCCAAAAAATCATTTCAATCTAATCGGATAAAAATAAGATAAAAATTCAATTTTCAATTATTTCTGAATAAAATTTTACTATTTTGTCCTCATCTTCCTGTTTCAAGTACATCAGCTGATATGAGAAAAAATCTTAATTTCATGTTTTTAGATTTTTGGACCTCAGTGGAGTTCCTTTAAAACAGCAGTATAACACCATAGTCAAAACGATGCAAAACTCTTGTACAAACTCATAAGGTTAAAGGTTAAATATAACATATATACCTGGTCCAGCATACTGCTTGTGATCTGATGTCTGAATGAGAATTTTCTGAAGAATGGTTACCATGGCAGCCGTAGCTAACACTTTCTCTGACAATGGCAACATTGAGAAGTAATCAAAATCTATCTCAAAAGGATTTCTTGGGGCTGGATATGTACATAACTTCACCAGCTCTGCTATGATATCCCATACAAAAACATCTGTGAATAAAATGATAAAATAGTTAACTGTTATGATATCCCATTCATAAAAATAAACTGTGAATAAAGTGATGAAATAGAACAATGCTACCATATCGCATAGCAAAATAATTTGTAAATAAAATAGAACAATGTATTATCGCATAGCAAAATAATTTGTGAATAAAATAGAACAATGTATTTTTGCTAAAGTATTTACATACAAAAAAAATGCAATCTATTTTGGAAGAGATTTTTAATTTGTCTTTTCATACTACATTAGACTGAATAATCATAATTCCTTATTATGAGTGTCAATATTACCTTTAACTATACTGTTACTAACTGACTTTACTTTTTATCTTCACCATTTAAAAAATGATTGCCATTTGAGTTTTATAAATGATTATTTTTCTCAGATTATGACTTTTTTGCTTATTTAGTACAAGAAAAAATGCCATCATTCTGTCTATATTTCATTTATGACACAAGCAATCACCAAATTGAACCTCCAACATTCAGTAAGCTAGGTAAATGGTCTCCTCACATAATAGAATGTAACATTTTGAGAGGAATCTGAACCAAAATATTGAGGCACAACTATCTCAAAGGCAGCTTGGCTCCAGATTCATGCTTTTCATGAACAAAATTGAAATTTTATTTAAAAGAAAAAATATTGTGAAGTGAAGCACTTTCAATCCACATAAATTACCAAAAAGAGGTCGAAATATGAAAAATAGCCTATAATGAGACTTACAATCCACTTAAATTAACAAAATCTGGTCAAATTATGCAAAAATAACCTATACTGCATTAGTAATGCTGTAGCAATATGGTGATAAATACTTCAATATCATTCTTTAATTGCACATAACATGTAAATTTCTAGAGCCATGCAGCTTTAATAACTCAGCTCAAGGTAAAATTAAAGGCATCATTAAAAAAATTAATATTTTGTTTAAAATCATAATTGTTGCTTTTTATATATAATTTCACGTATAATAGAAATCATTCTATAACCTACATATTCAACACAGCTGATCAACTTAAGCAGATAAAAACATATGGACTTACCATTATCTTTCCATTTCATTGTCGTCTTTAATTTCAATGGACAATCTCTTTCCCTGGATTCCCCAGTGAGTTTAACAAGTCGGTCATGATTTGATCTCACCCATACATACGGACAGTTGTATCTACTATAACCAGCTATAAGGAATAATGTTGATTTCTCATCCTGAAATACATACAAGAAAACATTTTATTTTAATGATGATTTATATAGAAGATATTGAATGAGAGTAAGTTTTTATAATGTATTTATTGAATGAGTTGAAGAAATTATGTAATGAACTTACACGAATTTAATTTAATATTCTTTTTATCTGAGATCTTGCTGGTTTTACTATTGAAGGAATACCCGAAGTGCCGCTTATTTTAGCATCATCTCAATCAGAAGTGGTTACATAACTATAATCACATGCCTACTAAGATAGTTTCCTTACATAACAAATTTTACCATTCAGTACATGATAACAAAGCACAACAACAATGGATAGGCAACTGAATTTAGCAACCTTAACCTCTAGGCCATTGCAATGACATGAAGATAAAAAATCATAAATAACAAAAAAATATTAACTTAAACTTTATATCATAAATCTTATGAATATACTCCATATTAATACAGCTACCAGCGGATATTAACTTACAGTAGGTAGTGACTCCTCTGCACTAGGAGATGCTGGTGGTAAACCTACATCTTTTACACCATGGGTACTGAGAATCATCTGTGAACGGACGGACAGCATCAGTGATCGCCTAAAATACAAATATAAATGTTTAAAAGCCTTTCCTTTGCTGCATAGTTTAAACTCACGAAAGAAAAAAAGCAGTAGAACAGAGTTTTTCAACAACCGTTTTCCATACCACGGCACACTATTTGATTTTTTTACAATATCTATCCTGTATCTAAATTACCTTATGGATACTTATAGAAAGGTCATTACATCAATATTTATAATAATATTCAAATGCATTTTGGTAACCTGTAAATTTGGTAATGCATTTGGTAATTTCTGACTTGTAACTTGATACATGTGTATACTAATGTATTCTTACTGTTACAAGTTTCTTACAATATACTGACATAAGCTTCAGACATGTGCATTTTCACAGTTTTTTTTAAATAATCAAACCACAAGAGGCCAAAAAATGCAACAAAAAACAATAGTTGAATAGTGTAGTCACAAAAATAATACAGTTCTAATGTCTTTACAGAGGTGAAATATTTCATATTTTGTTCTTGAATTTGTTTTTTTTTCAAACTGACATTACATAAGTCTTCCAAGTTCATTTGATAAATAATCTTTAGTCAATTCATGCTGCATTTGCTCCCATTTAAAGTGACATGAACTAAACATACACAACTTTGGTATCCTACATAATTCCTGTATCATTACTATAGATTGTATATGTATGTGAAATAAAAGAAGTCTTACTGATCATATGGCAGGTTTTGAGAGCTGAAACTTTCAGATTTTGACAATGTTTTCCTCTCTGTCTCAGAATGATCTGGCTTGCTGTGAACTGGACTAGATATACTCTGTAATGATGATGTCAATATTTAATAAACACAATAACAAACATACTTATAATATTTTAATACATCTTTGACATTTTTGGTTAGTTTCATTTTTGGTTAGTTTTAACAGTATGCAGTGCTGGACATTAAAATTGAAATGCACTGGACTAGATATACTCAGTGAGCGTCAGGATAATTATTATAAACTTATCACATGAAAGTAAAACAATAACAATAGAATTTCTAAAACAACATCATATACAAATTATATATTATCAAATTAAAGAAGTGTATAAAATTTCAAAGAAAAAGTACTAAATGTTCAGCTACATGTACTAACAGATTCTGACACACCATTGATTATTAAAAGAACCACCAAACCTTACCTGAGGGTGATTTAACACGCTCAGTACCATTTCCTCCCGGCCACGCATATACATCGCAAAGTACTTAAAACCTTTTACCGTCCCTAGTTTCAGCATCTCAGACAAAAATGCCTGGAGCTTTTTCTTCAGCATTGCTTCCTGTGACTGAAAAACAACAAGAAATCATTCCCTTTTATGCTTTATACAGAATTTATTTTTTAGTTTTATAGTGTGGAAAACTGTATGCTTAAAGAGACAATATGTAATCCAGAAACCAACCAGCAACAATTATTGATTGCTCAGTTTCTTACAAAAACCACTGCTTGCACTTTGTTGTGTTTGAAACATAACAGGCAGCAATCTGCAGATTTTCTAGTCCGACGTATTAACTACTTCTAGTACTTTTATTTTAACTCACCATCAATATTCAAATTACCACTTGTCATCATCTTATTTAGCCATGTAATAAATCATGATAAACCACATTTCAAGTGCTGAAATTATTACTTGAAGACACGATTCAGACCTTGCAAATATGATTTGGGTATTCATTAGACCTAAGCTTACTGTAATTAAATTCATTAATCATAAGAATGGTATAATTTAAGATTTAAAATGTTTGATCTGTTTTTAAATTGTCCACCTCTTTCCCCTATACAATGTAATTTTTCCCTCTCCATGGGCCCTGCCACAATTCTTTTATAACTTACATGTATATAACTGAAAAAAGCATAGACGCCTCCCTGGAATACAGTCCAATAATAATGCAATTTAGCATTAACCCTTAACATGCTGAATATTTTAAATGGACTTGTCCCACTTCCATTTTGGGACTGTCCATTATCAATTGTAGGGATATCAATTTGAATATTAAAAGTTTGTCAGCCAACAGTATAGAGCCTGGTCAGACTGCACGGTGCTCTATACTGGTGGCAAAGCCTTAAATTAATGCTTTCGTTTCCAGCAGTTTAAGGGTTAAGCATTAGATCAATTGAAATTTATTTAAGCTTGATTGTTAAACAATTCTTGCAACATTCAGTCTACTTCCTTGAACTAATCATTGTGCCAGGTGAGGAAACCACATTAGGGCTTGAACCTACAATCCCTGGATTGAGCAGCAGGCACTAGACCATCCTTCTCTTAATATTAACAGTAGCAGTGTTTAAACTTGGATTTAAAGTGAATAGACCAGCAACAGCACCATGTCATGTTAATAAAGGAAATATGACAGTCTCTTCATATCTTAATTGTCCTAGTAACATAATGTTCCAAAATATTATCAAAATTAAGTAATAATTAAATTATAATCTCTGAAAGAAAATTTAAAAAAAATGCAGGCTGCTTAGGTGCTGTGCATGTACATCAAGGTACAAAATTGTCATGATATAATGTGTTTTAGGTCATCAAATACAGTTTACAGGTAAAAGACATATCCATTTGTTGTACAAGCATATATTGAAAGGGTTCTTTTATTTTGTATAAGTTTCCAGTATAATGCCTCACATTAAACAGGTATGGTAAAGCGAAAGCTAAATTCTGTCGTAGGACAGGGCCGACGGTGAGACAAGTTGGACCGTATGTTTGGATGGGGCGGACCATATTTTTGGACAGGTCGGCGTTGCCGTTGCCGTCTCCGTTGCCGTTGCCGTCCGAAAACTTGTACCTGGATCATAACTTTTTTATTTCTTGGTGTATTGTCTTCATACTTGGCCACAACAACCCTTGGGACAAGACCTTTCAGTAGACCACACTAACCTTGACCTTCATCCATAAATGACCTTGACCTTCAAGGTTAAAAGTCCAATTTTTGCTTGTTCATGCTGTTATTGGCTGTTACTTTGTTATTTTTGAATGGATTGTCTTCAAACTTGAACATAATAATCTTCAAGGATATCCCTTAAAAATAACCAGTCAGACCTTGACATTCACTCATCAATGACCTTGACTTTGAAGGTCAAATTATTGAAATTTTCATTTTTTTGGCTATTATTGGCTGTAACTTTGTTATTTTTGAATGGATTGTCTTCAAACTTGAACATAATAATCTTCAAAGATAACTGTTAAAAATATACCGAAAGACCTTGACCTTCACTCATTAATGACATTGCCTTTGAAGGTCAAATTATTGAAATTTTCATTGTTTTGGCAGTAACTGACTGTAACTTTGCTATTTTTGAAGGGATAAACTTCATATTATAACAGAACATTCTTAAGGACCAGACCTTGTTGTTTATCAAACCCAAATTTGCTTGGGCTCTTTAATGACCTTGACCTTGAAGGTTATATTACTGAATTTTCTCAGATTGTGCATTTATCGGTGTGTGTGTATGTATAGTATATGTATTATATATAAATATATATATAAATGTGTGTGTGTATATATATACATATATGCAGGTATATATATATATATATATATATATATATATATATATATATATATATATATATATATATATATATATATATATATATATGTATATATATATATATATATATATACATATATAGATATATATATATATATCAAATATATATATATAAATATATATCAAATATATATATATATATATATATATATATATACATATATATACATGTATATAATTGCGTCATGTTTTTCTATTTTTAGAAATTGCGTCATTTTTTCTATTTTTAGAAATTGCGTCATTGTTGCTATTTTTAGAATTTGCGTCATTTTTTTTTCTATTTTTAGAAATTGCGTCATTGTTGCTATTTTTAGAAATTGCGTCATTTTTTTCTATTTTTAGAAATTTCGTCATTTTTGTTCTATTTTTAGAAATTGCGTCATTGTTTCTATTTTTAGAAATTGCGTCATTGTTTCTATTTTTAGAAATTGCGTCATTTTTTTCTATTTTTAGAAATTGCTTCATTTTTTTTCTATTTTTAGAAATTGCGTCATGTTTTTCTATTTTTAGAAATTGCGTCATTTTTTCTATTTTTAGAAATTGCGTCATGTTTTTCTATTTTTAGAAATTGCGTCATTGTTGCTATTTTTAGAATTTGCGTCATTTTTTCCTATTTTTAGAAATTGCGTCATTTTTTCTATTTTTAGAAATTGTGTCATTGTTGCTATTTTTAGAAATTGCGTCATTTTTGTTCTTTTTTTTTTTAGAAATTGCGTCATTTTTTCTATTTTTAGAAATTGCGTCATTGTTGCTATTTTTAGTAATTGCGTCATTTTTTTCTATTTTTAGAAATTGCGTCATTTTTTTTTCTATTTTTAGAAATTGCGTCATTGTTGCTATTTTTAGTAATTGCGTCATTTTTTTCTATTTTTAGAAATTGCGTCATTGTTTCTATTTTTAGAAATTGTGTCATTTTTTTTCTATTTTTAGAAATTGCGTCATTGTTTCTATTTTTAGAAATGGCGTCATTTTTTTTCTATTTTTAGAAATTGCGTCATTTTTTTTCTATTTTTAGAAATTGCGTCATTGTTGCTATTTTTAGAAATTGCGTCATTGTTGCTATTTTTAGAAATTGCGTACTGTTGCTATTTTTAGAAATATGCTTAATGTTTCTATTCATATATATACAAAATATATAAACAAAACTAATGTGACAAGACAGACCAACTAAATTTATAAAAAGGAAACATCAATATATGTTCAAACCTTTCTATGTTTGCGTTTAGAAAAAGTAAAAAGTCGAGCGTTGCCCCCGCCCGGCGGTGGCTCTTGTTTCAGCTAGAAATAAGATTAGTCATCATGAATATAGATAGCTAACAGCTTCCACTGTCCAGGGAGAACTAATGAGTGGTGATTTATATGAATATGTTGGATTTATATGATTTCAGAGAATTCACTTGGCCTTGTGGTTATTTTGAACAGCCATTTTGGGAATTTAAACATTGGAAATTGGGAATTTTAATGTCTATTTTCTATTGGGAACAGTACCGTTTTAGGGTAGTAGTTATATAAAGAAAAAAAACACTGGGTCTGATCGTGACTCGAGTTGAGGCGGACCGTGCTTAATTTCAAATTTAATTTTTTTTTTTTATCTTTTGATATCAATTTCATCCTAAACATGTCATATATTTCAGCATCTCACATTAAACAGATTATTATTAACATTTAGCCTTGCAATTATAAGAATAAAATAGGTAGCGTAAGATAGTGGGAACGGATTAAAACAAATCTCATATGTAAAATATGAGAAGTATCACTATGACTAATTGACTATGTAAAGTCATCACTAGACTGTCAATTGTACACCAAATTAAGACAGATGAAAATATTACTTGTATATCATCCAACCTGGCCTGTTGTGTTAATACTAAGGATAATTATGCCTTTGTTTACTGAAAAAAACAGTGTTTTAAATCATGACATATATAGCATTTTACGTTTGAAGTCAACATTCAAAAAACATAAAAAACAACAGAAAAACATTTGGATGGAAAAGAAAATGTATAAAAAGACCTACAAATGTACAGTAAAAATAATAAAGTCATGTCCGGTGATCTTGCGCGGCCGGTGATCTTGCGCACTCGGCATTTCCTTTTGTTTGGCTGTTTGTTTATGCTGTCGCTAGAAATTTTCAGCCAAAATTTGTGACTTGGTCTTACTTTGAACTACAACAAGTTAAGAAAGTTCAAAAAAATATCTGTCAAACATATTTGTTTACATTATTTCGTCATCCTAATTATTTATTCATAAACACGCCCACTGACCTATTTTCCCATTATATTCCTGTCTATGTACATGGTCTATTCATCCAGTTCCAAAATCTTACGTCCAGCAAAAAAAAATCTATATCACACATTTTAAAGCAGTATTGCACCGATAAAATGTTGTAAATTTTCTTTTTTCCCTTTGCAAATTAAGGTGTGTTCAGTTGTTATCTCCTGCCGATTCCCGCCATCTTGTCAAAATGGCCCCTCCCGCGCTTTTCAATTTTTTTTCTACGGAAGCGTAAAAGGGTCTAGAAAAGAGCATTGAATTTGTTAACTGGTGTTGTACTGTGTGTAGTCAATGGGTGCATCTGAAATTCTGTACAGAAATTGAGACATTGACTGGTAGTGATGATTTCAGGTGTCCCAGGTGTAGTAGTGAACAGTAAAATAACAAACCCTTGATGTAAATAAGTTTGTGTTATAGTTTTGTTTGAACAGTTTAAATTAGCTTTTCATTAATTGGACTCACAAAATTTATATTGATAGTATTACTGGGACACCATACTTTAAAAAAAGCTACCGTGACGTCATTCATAACACATGCGCAAGATCACCGGACAAATAAATGTTGGGATTAAACATGGTGGTAAGTGTTTACATTGTTGCACTCCTGAAGTTCAATGAGTTATTTCCAAAAAATATTTCTGTCATTATATGTCTTAAAGATTTTTGCAAATAGGAAAATAATTATGAGTTTTTTGTATTTATTTGAATCGTAGTAAATTAGCTGATAAGTGCTTAGGTGCGCAAGATTACCGGACAGCATCGTCGTACGTTTATCCGAAATAATAATATATCCGAAACATGAAAACTTTCGAGGATTAACATCAAGGCAATTATTCAAGATAGTGTTTTTAGTGACATTTCTATCGTGTGCTCGAAAATATGTTAAGAAACAAAGAAATAAATCTCACAGAAGCATCCATTTCAGCAGACACTAATATTGCTATAAATCGTTAAAAAACTGTAGTTTATTGATTTTCAACAAAACGCTTGTTTTAATAAAAACCAAGCGTAAAATCGATTAAGATTAAAGTTCATAAGATACTCCGGTCTCCGGACTTCGACGTTCCCCGGCAAGATACAAATCGACGCTCACTTGGATTTGAATTGAAAAGACTTTAAATGACAATTGTTTAACAGTTAAAATAACCTGAATGATGAAAGGGACTTTATTGAATGAAATATTTTTAAAAAAAAATTAAAAAAAAAATGTATATATAATAATGCTTATAAATATTTTCAGACTTTATTTTTATTCACGACTTGAGTAACAGTATTTTCCTTTGGATGATATTTTAAGTGTTATCCACAAACCTATGTGTTATTTAAGAATAATACACCAAAAATCCGCAGATATACTTTAGCTCTATGATTAGTAATAGATATACCATTGCTGCGTTGACGATTTCTGGGTTTGCGTAAATTATACCATAATCACGTGACCTTTCTTATGCCTTAACCTCACGAGACAAATTTTAACCTATAGCTCTTCAGCGCTTCTTATGTAAAATTCTTCCAAGTATAATTTCCAATAACCGTAAATTATACCATACCCAGACTATGGTATAATTTTCAGTTTTGAAGATCGAAGGAGTAAGTGTTTCTGGGCGGAGCTATAGGTTAAAACAGATACACCATTGGTGCGTTGACGATTTCTGGGTTTGCGTAAATTATACCATAATCACGTGACCTTTCTTATGCAACCTCACTCGATTTCGTCTCGTGAGGTTAAGGCATAAGAAAGGTCACGTGATTATGGTATAATTTACGCAAACCCAGAAACCGTCAACGCAGCAATGGTATATCTATTACTTAAAGCATATTAATTATATTTTAAAACACAAATGTCCATTTCATAGGCGAAATACCAATACGATCATTTTTGAATATACGAGAATAAATAAGTTTTAAAAAAATACAATTTTGTGTTATATTTTACATGCTCGTTATTAAAAATGATATAAATGCTGCTGTACCTGTTATTACCCTATATTGCGCGTGTCACACATTTAGTGGTTTCGTCACGTGTATAATAATTACTTCACATGTGTAAATATAGAATGTCAAACTGTGATTTTATTTAGGAAATATATATATATCAATTCTTAGTGCATTGTTGTAGAATAATGCACAGTTTGAGTTCAAATGCGTAGTAATATAATCACGGAGGCCGATAGGCCTGAATGATTAATTACCAAGCATTTGAACGAAAAACGTGCTTTATTATACAATAATGTACGAAAAATTAATATCTTTTTCCATGTTAACACGTCAAGAAAAAATATAATAATTACTATAAAGTTGGTGGTTAAATTTGTTTTCGCCTCAGAGTTTCCAGGCGCTACATTGTGACGTCACGTAAACGACACTTTAAACGTCTGTACAATAATGTACGAAAAATTAATATCTTTTTCCATGTTAACACATCAAGAAAAAATATAATAATTACTATAAAGTTGGTGGTTAAATTTGTTTTCGCCTCAGAGTTTCCAGGCGCTACATTGTGACGTCACGTAAACGACACTTTAAACGTCTGTACAGCGTTAACGACTAAATTAAACTTATTGGTGTTAAGATTCATTTTCTTAGTTAGACCATTTTCTTTCATTCTAAATAGTTTTCACAACAAAATTCGACAAAAAAATGTTTTTTTTTATTTATCAGATTTTTCAAACAAAATGGCGCCCTCGATGTGAAAATACACAGGGAGATAATAAGAACGGCGAGTGCATTGTTGTAGAATAATGCACGTTTCGGACCTTCTTTGTTTATATAGAAAAAAAATCATGTATAATCAAAGCACAGAAGGCGCTGAATTTGTTTGGGTCTCAGAATGTCAGAAAGGTGAAGGTTGTGAGATTATAAACCAATTTGTTTTAGTATTGTGCCACCAGTGCTTTCCAGCGTTTTAATTGTAGTTAATTGGCTTTAAGACTAATTGCAAAACTGATATTCAATTCAATGTTTATTTGACTTAAACAATTTGAAAAAAAGAGTTGCCTTCCTGGATTTGAACTCCAGACCCCTCGGCCACGGTCAAGTTATATGTAAAAGGCCTGAAGAAAAAAAAACATATTCTAAATTAGGGTTTGTAACCCTTATTATTTCGACGCTAAATGTTGTTTAACACAGATGTTAATAATCATGGAGTTTATTATAAGCATGTATATCTATAAAGGATAAAGCAATATTAGAAATCTTCGACCATTCGGGAATTATTTTGCTTGAAAATTAATGCGCCTGTCATTTGACCATCTGTACGCAGTGATCTCCCCTGAATTTTTCGGCGTTAGTGTACATATAAAGGGAAGTAACCGCTTCAAAAAAGCGACCTACTTTCGGCATTTGCAATTAACAGCATCAGACTCTGAAATTTCGCTACCATTATTTGTTTGGTCTGACGACCCAAACAAATAAAAACTATTACAATAAGCTATGAAATAATGCCATATTGTTTCCAATTTTACGTGTCGTCTGCTAGAGAGATGTCATACCTGTAAAAAATGGAATAGTACGAGGGAAAATACAATGTCGCCGTACGTAATAAAAAACACATAAATTGTATCTAAATGAGTTATGTAATACTTTTATTGTCTGTATACAACATATTAAAATTAGTAAGTATTAAATACTATATTATATCTGTGTTTAAAAATAGTCTAGCTCCGTGAATGAATTATATTTAAGAAATTTAAAAAAAAAACTAGAATGAATCTCGCTGTTACAGTAAGCAGGCATTATTCCGAAAGGATCCGTCAATGATTCTTTCATATCCTGTTCGTCGCTTGAAAAACGTTTTGTTCTAAGTGCTAATTTGTTATTTTTGAGAAAAAAGCATGTAAAGATTTAGTATTGCATAACTTTTATATTTATTGTCGGATTTTGAAAATTTAAAAACTACTAAACGTGATGTCGAGAGAACATCTCAATATCGTTAAAGATATGTGGATTTTAACATTTCCTTGCTTAAAAACTTAAAAAAAAACATTTGGAGATAGAACAGTCCTTGTAACTTTTTTTCAAAAATTGTTAAAATCAGAGTGTTCGTTGAATCGATTTATATCATATAAAACAGTATGCTCTCGGCTAATTATCCCTTGATTAGTTGACTTTGACACTACACTATTTCTTAGACCATAAGTATCTAACTTCCAGAACTATAACATTCGAAATCTTATTAAAATCTTTTAATCCATTACATTATTAAATGACATTTAAACAAATAATTTAAATAAATAAAGATAAAATACCCACATAAATTTTGTAGACATTTTATCTATTTTTATAACTTTGGCCACATTCAAAGTGATTCAATGTCTGGAAAAAGAAAGTTAAAGCCGCAAACGGGAATAGAAAACTTTCGAAACTTCTTGAATGCTGGAAAAATCTTTCAAGATTTTTTTTAATGAAAATTCAAAAGATGGTCAAGTTCAAATTCCTTCCAAAAGTATGAAATAGTTGTAATTATTATGTTATGCGCTTTACACGTTCTGTTTGTGTTGGTAAGAAGTTCTTCTAATTGAAGGTATGTAAAGAAATGTTTCTATAACTTAAGTAGGCAATGAAAACATATCTGCTAGAAAAGACCTTAAAGATGGAGCAGGCATGACTTACATTTGAAAAATGTCATATTTAAAGATTGTTCGTGTACAAAAACATTACAAACATAATGCTATATAAATATTCATTTAGAAATTCAAAGTCAAATTACATGTGCTAAAGATATTGTTTGACTATATTCTTGCAGGTGACTTTTGCTGGAAACATGTAAGCCATATCCAATAATGGCATGTTACCGGCTTTTACATTTAATAGTTGCTGGTCTAAAAAAACAACAACAAAATTTCGTATATACCTTTTCTACAATTTAAAGACAACATTTCCGTCTTCGTTTTTAAATAGCTGAAATTTGAATCAAATATTTTTTTAATATTCCGCTGTTAAAAAGCAGCTGTCTTTGTGCGTAATGAAAACCACAGAGCTAACGTCTTTTTTACGCTAACTTGACGCTATGCAAGGGCGACAATTTTGTAAATGTTTCTTGTGTGTTGCGCATGAGTATCGAGAACGTAATTTTAAGTCATACAAAAAGTTTAACTCATTAATGCAGCATAAAATAATTTGTAAGAGGATGCATTGTAATGTGTAGGAAAAGGCACGGTTAAACAGAACTTAAGTATCTGAAATTTAACTTGAAAGTAAAAGAACTTAATGAATGTATATTAGCGTGGGTTAGACCGAAATGCCGTAGCCATCCTATGTATTCATACATGTTCGAGGTCCTTATCCGAAAACAGACGGAAAGGGCCGAAAAGTTGCGATTGGAATTTTACCCCGCCATATTTATTTTAACAAAAGAACACTTGGTTAAATCTATTGTTGTTTCAATAATGAAAAGGTCAGAGTTGACCGAAGTACGGCGAAAAACCCCGGACAATTTTCCCGCTTTACACATTATAGGTCACGTGATCATTTGAGCACACAGAAAAAATCAGTTTAGGAGGGAACGTCGCACGGCGAAGATGGAAAATTGATTTTGCAGGTGTGTTAATATTGCGTCATTTGATTTTTTCAGGTATGTACAGTACTGGAAGAAGAAGTAGATGGAAGAAGAAGTAGAAGAAGAAAAAGAAGAAGCATATTTAGGAGGGAGAGTTGCACGGCGAAGATGGAAGAAATGGCGTGCAGGTGTGTTGATATTTTTATTGTACTTTATCGTGTCATTTGATTTTTTCATTAGCCTATCGTATTGAATGCCTTTGTTATATGACTGTTTATTTTTATTTTGATGATTTGTATACATAATTGCTCCTGATAATTGAGACACCTGGCTGTTTTATTACCCCCCACCCCCCACATGACTTGCTAGTTATCGTGTTGATGAAATATGGTTGATGTTTAATTTGACGATCTCGATTGGCCAGTCTGACCAGCCGCGTGACATAACATACTTTGCGCGACATAACATACTTCGGCGTTTTTTGTTTATTTTATTTTATTGTTTATTGACAAACTCTCCTGCCGCGTTCTGATTATTAATACATGTATTTTATGCATGTCAAACAGGTTTATAAATATATCAAAGGATGTATGTTTAAAAAAAATGTGTATACAAAAT